GTAAGCCAGGCCCAAAGAAATATAGGTTTCCCTTATTTGCAATAACTAGTATATGTCCGGGGACAAGCAGAAAAGGTCAAAAGCTATGTACATATGACTAGATAAGATGATGTTAAGTAAAATGTTTTACATTTTTTATTCTGTCTCTCTTTTCCAGTTGGGGAGGTTTCTTTTCCTGAAGTTCATTTCTTTCCTTAGTCAGTGAAAGCTCCCTCTGGAGTTTTTGTCTTCAAATGAACCCTTAGTCAGTTAGGTTTCCTTACTTTAGCACTGGTTCCTGTGGAGGTATATGCTAGTTGGTTTTTGCTGGGACAAACCATGATTCCTTGTGTGTTCTTTTGTCAGTTTCTCTGGTTTTGGGGGCAGCAGTTATAACTGTTAGGCCTTATTTTTTTTTCTGAGAGAGCCAAGAAGGGATTTCGGTTTTCCAGTTTTTTACTTTTTGAAACTGAGTCATTTCTAGCTTCGTACATTGCTGCACTACAAAGTAGAATTTTTTTATAATGCTATTGAAAATTGAATTATGTTTCTAATTTCATTTTAGATTATTTATTTTGGCTAATATTGTACACTTTGCTGAATTCATTTATTAGTTGTGGAGCTTTTCCCGCTCTCCCCCGGAATGGGGTTTTCTCTATATAGGTTTATGACTTTTGTCAGGGGAAATAGTTCACTTCTTCCTTTCTAGTCAGGATGTCATTTGCTTCTTTTTCTTGCTTATTGCCTTGGTTACAACTTCCAGTATCATGTTAAATAGCAGTGTTGAAAGCAGGTTTTCTTTTTCTTTCTTATTTTTGACTGAAGACTTTTAAGTTTTTGGTCATTCAATATGATGTAAATATGGGTTTTAATCTTTTTATGGGTTTTTATACTTTTTATCAGATTGAATTAAGGGTCTCATTTATTACTACTTAGTTGTATATGTTACTTATAAAATAAGACTATTACATATTGTCAAATGCTTTTCTTCATGGGCTGATGATTTTATGATTTTAAGACTTTTTTCCTTTATTCTCTCATGTGGTATATTACTTAGATTTTTATATGTTGAATTTCCCTTGTATTTCTGTGATATGATTATGGTCTCTTGATATACTGTTAGATTTGTGTACTAGTCTAAGTTAAACAGAACTATTCTGAAAATGTAAAAACTGAAGTGCTTCACAATCTGAAACCCTGAGTGTGAACTTGATGGAAGAAGTGGAGAATTTCATATTGCATGTGACAAGCAGCATGTAGTAGCACTAAAAAAAATGTATAAAACTGTGGTAACCTATTTATGTTGAATTTTTGTTTAGACTTGGGTCCCATACTCAAGATATCTCATTTATATGTAGATATTCCAAGATATGAAAAAAGATATGAAATCTCTCCTTGTCTCAAGTTCAGATAGGGCTCCTCAACTCTCAATTCTCAGAGGAATTTTGCATTTATATCCTTAAGGAATGAAAGTTAGTCTGTGTTTACTTAAAATACTGTGTAGATAATGTGAACTGCTCATGCAGATAATAAAAAAAAAAAACCCTAAATACAGTAAGAGAAAAAAAAGGAAGGTAATTTATAGTAAAATAGTCAATCTCAATGTGTAAATCCCCAAACTGCTGGAATTAACTGTGGTAGAGGCCATTTGATGACAGTTAATGGTTTAGCAATTCAGTACACATTATGACAGAACATGAGTACTTATTTCATCAGAAATGTTTGCTAGAAAGGACGATAATAATTCAGTTCTTGTAAGATTTATGTGTGTCATACAGTTTGGTCCTCAGACAGTCCTATACTGTCTGGAACTACTAGCAACTTAACAGAGATAAACACCATCTACAAATATTAGGTTAAGGTGCAGAGCAGCAAAATAGAAGAGTAAATATATATTAACAATAAAATGTTAACAATAAACATACATATATATACACACTCAAAAGAGACTAAGGATCAAAGAAGTCAAATAGTAAGTGGCAGATTGGGATTTCATCATTTAGCAGTCAACCTCAGTGTGCAACCCAAAGAATTGATCTGAACTTGGATGCTTCAGAGGCTTTTCAGATTAACTTTCACCTAAAACCATACTCATGAGCTTCATCACTGCCACCCTGACTGGACTATGCATGCCTTGAGTGCCTATCCCATCTAGCTCTAGTATGATCTTCTAATTTAGAAACGATACCCTTCTGGCTTTATATGTGTGTTGATGCTAACACTCCTTTTGTGGTTGATTACTCCTTGTTCTTAGGATGAAGACCAGACATTTTGCAGGCAGTAGTTTTAGCAGTGAAAGCATTATCTGGTATGTGCTGACTTCTCCACTCTTGTTGACTAGTCTTCTCTTTCTGGATCATGCTACTTCCTGTGGAATAAATGGGACCATGGCTGGTTTATGTTTTCTTCTGTGTTTCCTCTACCTGGAATTCAGCTTCCCTTCTGTGTCCCTCTACTCCTTCTCATCTCACCTCAAATAGCTGTGTTTAGGAAGCATTCCCTGACAACTTTGCCCCAGACATATCAATTCTAAGCATAAGTTTCTATAACCCCAATCATACTGGTGTATGTTTCAGTCATTACTAATATTTGTCTTTCTAGATGTTAGTTCCTTGTGGGCTGAGCATTATATGCATATTCGGTATGTTTGAATGAAAACATCTAGTCTAGCTGTTTTCTTCATGAGGAACTAAAGCTTGAGTAGTATTGTAGCCATTCATGTTACATTGCCATTTCTTAGGTATTTGTTTCACCTCTAAGTCTTAGTTCTTTATCTGTTAACACAATATAGAAATAATTTCTATCTCTTGTGTAGTTGTGGGGATTATATGAGTTAATAATTCAAGGCAGTTAGTGGCAATTGTTTTTAGTGTCTAGACCTTCCCAAGGCCATGAATGATTTTTATCACAAGCCTGTAATAGATGCTTCTTTTCTCATATGCTTTTCCCCATGCTAAGATCGTTTAGAATTCTTACACATGTATTCTATTGTGAGCTGATCATCATTGTACTTTATTAAAAAAAATGAGTTCATATCCAGGTGTTGGTCGCTCAGGCTTCTCAGGAGGCTGAGCTCTGAAGACTGTGGTTTGAAGCAAGCCCAAGCAGGAAAACAAGACTCTTTATCTCCAATTAACCACACATGCATTCATGCATGCACACACACACATATGTGCACAGAACCCAGGCACAGTGCCCAGGCCTAGAGTTCAAGCCCTAGGACAGGCAAAAAAAAAAAAAAATTCTTGCACAAAGACTATGTACGAGTTGTTGTTTTCAGTTTGAGCCAGATACTTTGGATATCCAATTAAGAATTTTGAATTCAGACATTTGAGAACAAATCATGAAAGGATTTTACATAAAATGTGAATTTAATTCTATACATAGATTTTTTTTCAGAAAATAGATATACCTTGTAATCAGAATGAAAGGCTAAAGTAGAGGAGTTAAGAGTCTAGTCATGGGTGGTACATTCCTACAATCTCAATATTTAGGATGTTGAGACAGGAGGAACTTGAGTTTGAGGCCAAGCTGGGCTACAGTGTGAGTTCAAGGCCACCCTGAGCTACATAGTAATATGTTAAAAAGAAAACAAAATAGAAACAAAAAAATCAAAACAATAACCAAAAAAAAGAGCAATTAGGAAGGAGAGCTGGATTTTATGAGAGAGAAATGAATTTGTTTCATGAAGATTGAATTAGAATTGCTTGTTGGTATTCTAAGTAGAAGTGCCCTCAGGTTATGTATGTGGAACAGAAGTCAGGAGAGGATCTTGGATATACTGAGAACTATATCCTTTAATAAAAAGAGAAAATGAGCTGTTCACAACTGGTATGTGACAAGTTTTTTTTTTAAACTTATCCTCTATAGTATACTCTTTTTTTGGGTTTTGTTTGTTTTGTTTTTTGTTGGTTGTAGGGCTTGAACTCTGGGCCTGGGTGTTCTCCTTCAGCTCTTTAGCTCAAGGCTAGCGCTCTACGACTTGAGCCACAGTGCCACTTCCGGTTTTCTGGTGGTTATTGGAGATAAGAGTCTCATTGACTTTCCTGCCCAGGCTGGCTTTGAACCATGATCCTCAGATATCTGCCTCCTGACTAGCTAGGGTTACAGGTGTGAGCCACCAATGCCCAGCTATAGTATACTCTTTTTTTTTTTTGCTTTTATTATTATTTTTATTGTGAAAATACTGTACAGAGGGGTTACAGTTACATGGGCAAGATAATGAGTACATTTCTTATCAAGCATTGTAG